GGGGGGAATTGTACATCCTGGAAAAACTTTCCTCAAAGTCTGCAGGCGCAGTGACATTCCCCAGAGGACGGTGTTCTCTTCCTGGGCTCCCTGGAGGTGTTTGGAAAGAAGGTGTGACTGCTATATGTGCCCTGGTTTAGAGAGGTAGGCAATGAGCGCTACCACTACCCCTACATACACACCGGTGCCTATAGTGATGGAGAGGGCAGCTAAGAACAAAGCCCTTCGGGAGGCGATGTTGGCCAGCGGGAAGTCACCTTTGTTCACTGCCTTAGTGGTCTGTAAAAGAGAAAACAAAGAAGAAGAAGAAGAAAGTCAGAAGCCTGATAACATTTGCAACGACTTCAAGAGAAATGGTGAGCCACTGAAAAATATGTTGTTTATCGTTTCTATTGCAATGTAAAACCTCAAGTTATGGAAATGGAGAGACCAACTGACTGACTAAATACACGAACTGAATAAAAAATGCACTGCAGGACTAAGAAATCGCAATCAGTGTGAAAATGTGAAGGACAGGAGGTTATGGTCACCTCAGCTGCTGTCACTGAATGACAAAAATCGTATGGGGGGGAAACAAGATTCACAATTTATCACTGAACTAAAAAAATAATAATTCTTTTCATATTTATATATCACACAGTTAATCCATGCTTTCATGTCACAGAGTGTAAAGCTGGTTCTTTGTGTGCCCACACTGCTTTTTCCCCCTCCAAAGAGTGACTCCCACTGACATGACCCATTTACAACAGGCACATATAGATCCTCTTCACGAGCCCCTGTTAGTGTAACTAGAAAAAGCAGCCGTTAAACCGCAGTAAATACTAGTTTTTGTTTTCAATCAAATAAGAATCCTATATATCCTTATATTTTGTCCTCTGACATAAATTTATTTTTCAAGCAATCTGCTTTAATAACAAAAACCACTCTGAGAGCACAAACCTCCACCAAGGCTTCTCATTGTCTGGGCAGCATTTGCTTTCAAGAAAATGGCATTGAGATCTTTATGCATTCATTTTGCTTTATTTGTTCTTTTTATACATTCTTGTTGTGCAATAAAAAGTAATTTCAGGCTTTTCGTTTTTCTCTGTTGAAACCCATTTTAATATACTTGATATGTTTTTCAGTACAATTATGTTTTACTTTACTTACTAAACTTAATTTTAAATGTTTAGTGATAAATGTCAAGCGAAAAAGTTTCTATTGATCTTTTATTTGATAGTTTTGTTTTCCAAATAAAATCATAGTTGTTCACGAGCATGTATTCAAATTGTTATGTATTTAAACACTTAGCCTTTTACTGTAATGTATATAACAACATCAAAATAAAATATTAATAATATTATAATAAATATAATATTTATTCACTATTTTCCCATACATTGTCAATACAAACAACGGCAGTGATAAACATATTTTTAAATACCTACAGCATTACTATCACTTTGACTTTCAGATCAACCTATTAACATTAAAGGAAAGGTCAAATGGGGAATGATATTTTATATTGTTAGACTATACTGTACTTTCAATACTAAGAATCATAGTTTATAGGTGAAGTTATAAGGCTTTTGTCAGTTTTTAAATCCATTAATCATTAAGCTGACCTTTAAGACCTTGTAGGATGGAAGCCAAGTTTTAATGAACTGTTAACATCACCCAACTCTACACACATACAAAGTTTTATCAGAAGTAATTCAAAACTCTTTGAGCTTTTCTGTGTTTACAGACATGAATGATGACACACATGCAGGTACTGCAGCCTTTTTTTCTAAGTATATATGCCAACTGGAAAACCAACTGACAAAAAGGAAAATACTGTATATATATGTATGTATACATTTACAGTATATTCATGTATATATGATTTGCCATTTAACTAAATTTGATTTGTATATTTAATCTGTCTGATTTGCGTTTCCAGGAAACTACTGACTTTGTGTTTTACAGTGCAAACACTGAAGCGATTATGTTGCATGATTTAGCGTAATGAATAGAAGTGTATTAGAAGAGTCTATGGTAAAAGCAGAAACTAAATTAACACTGTGAGATTAACAATGGGCAGTACTTACACTCTCAGAAATAACAATTATTTGATACGTAATAACTTCAGAAATAAACAGACTGAAACTTGGTTATGTTTTGAAGTGGTCCATTTCCTCATTAGTCACTGTAGATGTATATTAAACATGTTGGTTGTATTTAAACACATCTAAATGTAATTATGTAGGCTAGAAATTCATCCTAATTTTGTGGTGATTGTAATGTGAAGTCTGGGCTCCAAAACACTGAGCTGAAAAAGATTATAAAGCAGGAAGCTGCAGAGTTGTGCAGTGTTTGGATGTAGTATTTGGAATCTACATCAAAACATACATTTTTTTTTTAGCATTTATCATCACACTATAATGATTGTAATATATGTATGCATGTTTCCTATCTCCCACACATAGAGCGGGGGATTTGCTAGTTAATAATGGTAAATAGAGAATCTCCTCTCTAAAGCAGGAGCAGGTATAAACACTTTTTGCAGCTGTGCTATGTAACCTTTAGCTATCTTCTTGTTCAAAGGGATTTCCTCGCCAGAAGGGAAAGGAAGGGAAAATAGACTATTTTGATTTCTCTTTTTCATTTAGTTCACTGAGTGGAGGCTATCCCTGAAGCAGAAATTACAGAGCATAAACTGTTATATTGGCGTTTTTCGGCCTTTGTATTGGCTTTTTAAGTTTCTTGTTTCATTTTTCTTCCACTAAATTAAAATAAATTCAGTTTTTTTATTACAATGCCTTCCTGTATTTACTACTTTTTTTTTTTTTACAGCAGTTGCAAAGATTCAGCAGTCTCCAGTGTTCAACATGTTTATAAATTACAACCATAATTCAATGTGCCAACAACACAGTCAGATGGGTGTGAACCTGTGCTAACAGAATTTTGAAATGCACTGTGCGGATGCATGAAATAGCCTTCATTATTCTTGTATCCAATTTAATAATGATGTGTGGCATGTGAGTATGATGAAGTTGGCCTTAGGGTCACACTAGCTCACTCTGCCGCTTTCATTTTGGAGGTGAGCCACAGCACCAAGTACATGAGGTAACACTTCTTACTAAAAATCAAGGTTAACAGGGATTGCGTCTGCTACTCAGGTGCAGCTCTGTCAGTAGTCAGACAGTTTGCATCTGGCAGAGACAGGGAGTGGAACCCTAAACACAAAGTCTCCATTAAAAAAAAGAAAGAGCTATACTTGGTTTGACCTTCGACTTTGAAAGTCTTGCATGTGAGCTGCTTTTGTAGAATTGCTTTGCTCAACAAAAGGGAAAACTGAGAAGAATTCTGAAATCTTCTTCTCATTGAGAAGAGCGAGCTGGTTCAGGTATGCAGTCTCATGGCATCTTTCTTTATTTAAGTGTGGTCTTGTTGGATATCTGAGGGGAGAGAAGAAATACTGACTGGAGTAAGGAATACTTGCAGTTTACTTTTTTAACATAGTATAATTTGAGATAGTTCTCGAGGCTTTCTGAAGGCCTTTCAAAGTTGCTTTTCCTTAAAGATTGGCTGTTTGGTTTTTTTTTGTGCTAGTCATATAAATAGTAAAACAAAATCTGTCTTTGTAACATTAAGCCAGTATAATGTTTAAGTATTGCACTTAAAATTTTATATTTTATACAGTACTGTATAGCACTAATACTGTTTTTACCGCCTGTAACAAAAACACATAATTTATTCTAATTTCTTTATTTGAATCCACAAAAAAAAAAAAGAGCCAAAGATGACATAACACGGTATTTTTGCAGCAATAAAGTGATTCCCAAATAGCTGTTAGCTGAAAACGGATCTTGGCATCGAGTGCAGCATGTCCTTAAACAAAATGAGGACAGTAGAGAAAATAGAGAGTGGAAGATGCAATAAAAAGTGGCAAGACTATTTCCTAAATTATATTTGAAGGTGATGCTGACATTTTTTACTATTTACAAAGAAAAAAAATCCAGCAATGACGTTTGACGGGAGCCGAGAGATGCATCTGGCTCTTCAGTTGATCCATCTACTAGCGTCATTAGAAATGGTCTTACTGGGAGACCATGTGAAACATACAGTGGAACAGTATCAGTCATGGATTGGCCTCCCCAGAGCTCGGACCGCAACATTTTTGAAGCAGTGTGGGAACATCTTGACAGAACAGAAGAAAAGGCAGCACACATCTAAAAAGAGCTTTAAATGTCCTTCAAGAAGCCTGGAGAACTATTCCGAATCATCAGAATCAGACTTAGAATACTTTATTAATCCCTAAGAAAATTATTTGGTCACAGTTGCTCCAACACAATAAGAACAGTAACAGACTGAACTAAATTAAATAATACAATATATTACAAAGTGACAAATTTAAGAAATTGGCTCTAATATATGCAAACAGCTTAGTTCAGTCTTTCTTGAATAATAAAGGTGCTCATACTAATTATTGACATTCAAACTTATTAGAATTGTACAAACTCTGTCTTTGCCTTAAAAACTGTATTATGTTTGCACGTTTTAATAAATCGCTGCACCTACTTCCTGTTCTACCAGCAAAATATGAGGAAATATCAGAAGGCTCAACTCTTTTGCACATTACAGTACATTTTACAGAAACAGTGATAACAAAAAATGAGTGCAGTGTGCGATAAATCTAATGTAAAATATATATTGACATTTCTATCAGGAAGATTGTCTTGATGCTAGCTCTGTTTGGATTACCGCACTTCCCTCTCTCCCGTTTCCCCACTTCAAACTCATCATTTTTTCCCGAGGTCATTTATTCGCTGTCAAACCAATCAGATTGTGCTTTCTCTCCCACTGCCAGGTGTTATTTCAGTGTGGAATTAATGCAATTCTCTTCAACCTTACTGGTGGGTTCTTCACATCCGTCCAGTTCTCATGTCATCCCTCCTCGTCCACCACCAGGGTCTAGACTCCATAAAATGACTAACCCGTTAAAATAATGACATCACAATGGGGTCTACTCACCAAAGGCTAATGGCATATTTCTTTTCCCTTTTGTGCATATTAAGTCAAATACATTATTTTAATTACTCTTTAAGTGTCTTGCTTTATCGCTCTCTCCTGACAAAAATATTGTATTATTCATAGTCTCTGCCAATTTGCACTACAGTCATGCAAACAGCGACAAAGCAGCTGAACCAGAATATGACCTCTAGTTACTCATGCCTTCCTCCATTTAGCTCAAAATTCTGGATCTCATTCTCTGCAGTTTCTCACCAGGGTAAAATAACTCCAGTGAAGCAGATGTA